CGCCAGGCATGGAATGAACATTAATAGCATACCTGCTGTATATCAGGCATGGACCAAGCATTAATGCAGTGCCTGGTATATACCAGGCAAGAGACAAACATTAGTGGAAGGCCTCCTGTAAACTAGGCATGGACCAGGCATTAGTGCAGTGCCTGCTGCATCCCAGGCAGGGAACAAGCGTTAATGAAGTGCCTACTGTATACCAAGTACTGCTTGAAGTACTTACGGGAGCACAGCCATGCCCCTTCCCCCTGCGCCGGCAGAGGTGAGTGGTTGCAGCAGCCCTGAAATCTTTTCTCTCCGGCCTCTTACAGAAAACAGGCAGAGGATGAGGCCTCCACGCACAGTAGGTGCTCAGTGCTTGTGTGTCAAGTGTTGGACAAAGGACGGAAGCCTGAATTTCACACACGGGGAAACCGAGGGGCTCTTAACACCCAGTTCCCTGATGATGGCACCTCTCCCAGCCCTGACCTGGCCAGAACCCTGACCCTCATCCCCACCTGGCCCTGCCCTGATCCATCACACACCTGCCCAGCTGCACCTTGACACACTGTGCTCACCTATCTTGAGATAAGAGGGAGGGGAGGGTCAAAGTCTCTGCTGACTAGCCTCTGCTGATTGGGACTGAGGGAAGGTTGGTTCCCTGAGGCTCTCCTCTCGGGGGTCTCCATGCTCACCCCAGCTGGACTCGTAGCCCTAGGGGTCCCCCCCACAAACAGAACACAGATCCACTTGAACAAAGAACTGACCACCAGGGGAACAGAACAAAAACACTTCCCCCTGTGGCCTTGGCTCCGACGTCCCCTCCTCGGGGGAAGGCGGTCAGGCCAGGCCTTCCTTGATCACCTTTCCAACACCACCGCCACCCCATCTCCACGCTGCTGGACTCCCCATCACCCTTTTCATGGCCCGAAGTCATCTTCTTTCTTCTTTTACCCACCTGTGCCCTCCCCACCAGATTGGAGGGCGTCTCTGTCTCAATCACTGCCGCCTCTAGACCCCAGCCTCACACACAGTAGGTGCTCGATAAGCGTCTGTGAAATCATTGAAGGCACCTGGCCCTCCTGGGTGCTCATTCTCCTTCACTGGAGAAAAGAAAATTGCCCCTTTCTTCCCTTCCCTGCATCTGTTCCCTGTCGCCACTGGCCTCCCCACGCGGGACTTAAACCTCAGGATGGAACCTTCCTTTTCCCACTTCCTCGGGTGTAGACTGTCAGTGGGTGCCTTAACTTCCCTGGGCCAGTTTCCCCATCTATAAAGCGTGCACAATTTTAGTTGTTTTTCAGAGACCCATTGTAAAGAGCCAAGAAGGTTCTTGTAAAGCGCACAGTAGAAGCTTAATGTTTGCTGAAATACTCTAATACTATGGGACAGTGGTAGATAAATTCTAGGATGACCCCCAGGGAACCCCGTTTCCTGGTCTTCATAGCCTTGTGTAACTCAGCCCCCGGCCTAGGATGTGAGTGGAATTTAGTGATTCAACTTCTAACAAATAGAACACAGCAGACGCCAAGTCAGAGGACTGGCTGTAAGACGTCTTTGGCTTCCCGCTCGAGCTCCCTCTTGCTCGCTCTGACAGCAAGCTCTTTCCAGACATCTGGGCTACCCTACCTGCTGGAGAAGTTATGAAGAGAACAGGCCTCCCTCCAAGAGCCACAGTTTATTGCCTGTCAAGTAGACCTTTATAAAGCTCTAAGAATAAGGAGGGAGGGGGTAGTTCAGCAGTGGGGCACATACCTAGCAGGTACAGCAGGGTCCTGGGTTCAATTCCCAGTACTTCCATTAAAAAAATAAATTAATAAACCTAATTACTCCTTCCACCAAAGGGATATTTTTAAAAGAAGAACAAGAAGTGACCCAGGAGGTGGAACTTGTAAAGTACATCGAAGGTGTTTAATAAGTGCTTAAGCCTTAAAAAGGACACTGAAACAGGGGCCTGGCCGCGCTGGGGCTGTAGTTGAGGGCAGGCAACAAATAAGACGGGATGAGTCAGTGTATTCCTTCATCCCCCGAGTACGTGGTGTATCCCATCCGTGACACCCACGCCCGGGGCAGCCCTGGGCCCTGGAAGGAGGACGTGAGGGGGCTGAATCAGCAGTGGGGGTCTTATTCTCAGCCATTCCTTAAGTGCCCACTAGGTGCCAGAGCTGGGTGGGGAGCAGAAGGCCCCCAGTGGGTAAGCTGGGGTATGGAGCCCCACGGAGAGATAGTGAACTGGCCCCGGAGCCCAGCTGGTGGCTAATTGCTGACTTTGGCTTTTCCACCCAGAGACCCAGAGAGACAAAGTGCACCCAGCTGCACGCCCTGCTGGCTGGAGGGCCCCCGCCATCCTGTCCCCTCCGCCTCCCTGCCTCCTCACCCTTGGAAGTCGACCTCCCATCCCCTGAGGGGTTCGATTTTATGAGGGGGAACAAGGCCGTTTCCTGGCCGAGAGCTGTGAACAGGAGCAAAGGTGAGTGGGGCCCAGGCTGGGGACACGCAGGGAGGAGGGGCACCCGAGGCCAGAGTACCAGCCCAGGGTATCGGGGGCAGATTCCACAGCACTCGCATCCCTACCCTTCCCCAGGCCTCGGTGCTGAAAACTGGGTGCTCATCGTGTAAAGCAAATCCCAAGCCACGTGGACACTCAGCGTCAGAGGAGCCGGAGGGAGGCCCTGCCCTTACTCTGCCTTAATGCCCCATCTGCCGTCACGGAGGGTAGTTACTTGTTTTCTTCTCTTTCAATTTTTCAAACATGGTGCACTCAAGGAAGACAGAGGCGGAGGGGCCTGGGTCTGCCTGGGCCGTGGTGTTTCAGACCTGACCTGGTCTACCACAGGCATGCAGTTAACGTCGGTTGCCCAGCTCCGTAAATATTAGCTTTTACTCTTTACCGAAACAGACATACAGCTGGCCAACAAGCACGTTAGGGGGAAGCCCGGGAAACCGCAGTGAGACCCCACTCACCAGAACTGGCGAAGATGAAAAAGTCCGACCGTATTAAGTGTTGCTGAGAAGAGGGAGCAACTGAAACTCTCGCCCAGAGAGCTGGTGGGGGTGCAAAACAGGACAGCCTCGCTGGAAGGCAATGTGGGGTGTTCTCAAAAAGTTCTTAAAAACATCCACCTGTCAGGGAATCTAGTCATTCCATTCACAGGTATTTACTCAACAGAAAGGAAAACGTACGTCCATACAAAGATTTGCGCACGGATGCTCACAGCAGTCTCATTTTAAGCCAGTAGGTAAGAGTCAAACTATCTGGTTTTTATCCCGCACATATTTCCCCTCCCCAGGCTGTGTGACTTTCAGGAAATGGCCATCCCTCTCTGAGCCTCCATTTCATCATCTGTTAAAACAGGGATGATGGTAAGAACTTACAGGTACCAATAAACACATGAAAAAATGCTCTGCACGTAATAGACACCCCAGGACTGTTAGTTTGTATAGATTTTTTAAAAAGCTCAATATCATTAGTCACTAGGGAAATGCAAATGTGAAGCACAGTGAGATACCACTGCATATCCACTATGATGGCTGCCATCAAAAGGACAGGTAAGAACAAGTGTGCGTGAGGATGCGGAGAAATAGACACCCTCACGCATGGCTGGGGGGATGGAAAACGGCACAGCCACGGTGGAAAACAGTTCAGCGATTCCTCAAAAAGGTAAACATAGAACTACCGTTTCACCAATGACTCCACTCCTAGGTATCTATCCAAAAGAACTGAAAACAGGTATCAGATAAAACTTTGCACATGAATGTTTACAGCAACATTATTCATAACTGCAAACCACCCAAATGTCCATCAACAGATGAACAGATACACAAAATGTGGTCCCTCCAACATGGGAATATTACGCAGCCATGAAAAGGAGAGAAGCACTAACACTCGCTCCCACGTGGACGGACCCTGAGAGCACAGTGCTCAGTGAGAGAAGCAGACACAGGACACACAGTGTGTGATTCCATGGATGTGAAACATCCACAACAGGCCAGTCCACATGGCAGAGAGAGGATTCCTGGTTGTCAGGGGCTAGGGAACGGGGAGCAGGGGTAATGGTAATGAGGATGGGGTTTCTTTCTGGGGTGATGGAATGTTCTGGACTTAGTAGTGACAGCAGTATAGTAAATATTCTAAAACCAATAAATTGTACCCTTTAATATTTATGATTTGTGAACTATATTGAAAAACATGTCAATGATTAAAAAAAATAGCAAAGAATTCCCACATAGCCTGGCACACAGAAGGCATTCAATAAATGCTCAGGATTGTCATTATAATGGGCTGAATGGACACAGAGCCAGTTTTTTCATCAATAAACATTTATTGAGCACCTACTGCATGTCATGGTTCTGGGTTCTGGAGACACAGCAATGAAAAAGCAGACAAAAATTCCTGCCCTCATGGGGCCAACGTTCTAAGTGGGGATAGACAGATAATATGCAATTATAAATAAATAAAATATATTGGGTATTATATGGGAGAAGTGCTAAAGAGAATGGGGGAAAAGCAGAGTAGGGGGGTTGGGAGGGGAGTGGAATTTTAAATACAGCAATTAGAGAAGGGCCCTCTGAGGAAATGAGCAAGACACCAATATATCTACTGGCAGCAGAGACAGTGCATGCAAAGGCCCTGGGGCAGCACCATGCCTGATGTGTTGGAGGAACAGCCAGGAGGTCTGTGTGTCTGGAGCAGAGTAGGTGAGGGGGAGAGAGGGAGGAGGGGAGGGCAGGGAGGGGATGGGGGCAGGTCGTGCAGGGCCCTGTGAGCCTCAGGGAGGACTCAGGCTTTTACCCCTAGGGAGGTGGGAGCCCTGGAGGGCTGTGGGCACAGAATGGGCGAGGCCTGACTCAGGTGCTCACAGGCGCCCTCTGGTGGCTACTTCGGGGAGACCAGACCATGGGGGCTAAGGCTGGGAGCCAGGGCCACAAGGTACAGTGGCTGTGCTGGCCTGGGTTGGTGGTAAGAGGGATGGACCCCGACAGAGGATGTAAGAGTAGTGAGACGTGGGCTGCTCAACAATAGCCCGGACTCTGCACCCACAATTTCTGGGCTCAAATCCCAGCTCCATGACCCTGAGCTGTGACCTTGAGGTTGTGGTTCAACCTTTCTCCACCTTCCTTTTCGTAAAACAGAGATATCATATTTACCAAACTCAGAGGGTTTAATGTATGCGAAGTACTTAAAACAAGGCCTAGGCCACAATGGAGAGCCCACAGCGGTGTTTGGGGGTCACAAGAATGATCATGACGATTATCATTTACTATTCCAGTGGGGCAGTTGTCAGCTCAAGAACCATTTCACGATCACCCATCTTCCCTCAACTGGCCTTCTGGGGAAACTTCCAGATCCACCCCCAGGTGGATTCCTGCAGGACAAAGACTGGAGTCTTGTCATCTTTCTGTCCCCAGCTCCCAGCTCAGGACTAGGTATCAGGAAGTTGGCGCTGAAGGAATGAGTGACTCTCCCGATTCTTCCAGGCAGAGTCCTGGCTCTCTCACACCCTGGCCCCCGACCCCTGAGTCCCTTTGTCCCAGCTCTGTCTACACAACCTTCCTCCCTAGACTAAGGGCTGCTCAGGGGCCAGAACTAGTCAACTCCTGCTTATCCTTCAAAACCTCAGCTCACATGCCCCCTTCCCACACAGCCTTCTCCAGCCCCCTCTGGCAGAAACTTCATTCCCCACCCCCAGGTTCTCTTAGCCTCAGACCCTCCCTCTGCCTCAGCCCTGCGCAGCCAGACTCCTGAGAATAATATTATCATACTCAAGCCCCCCAGAAACTCCCCTCCTAGCTGCGTCCCTTCCAGATAGACTGAACTTGCTGTCGTCCCTGCAGACACTCCCGAGCTTTTACATAAGCTGTAGCATCTGCCTGGAACACCCTCTTCACCCTCTCTTCTTTGCTGGTTTCCAATAGCTCAGTTCACCTCATCCATGCAGCCTTCCCCACCTCCCCTCTTCACACAGATCCCAATTCCTTGCTCCTGAGCATCCTTAGCCCCTATGGCACAGGGCTAGGAGCATCTGTGCCAACCCTGTCTCCTCCAGACTGGGGGTTTCCCTATAGTCATAACTGGTCAAGTTCTATTCATCCCTCAAAGCCCCAACTGAAATGCCACCACCTCTGTACAATCTTTGCCAATCTTCTTTGCCCAATACTTCATTCCTTCCCTGGGGCTTCCTCAGCCTCAGGACCCCACTTCTGCCCCCATAGGGCTAAAAGCATCTGTGTCCAGCTCTGTTGCCTCCAAACTGGGGACTGTTCAATAGTCAGGCCTAAGGACCTGGCTTTATCAGGCTCTTGGGGTCTGCCCGGAATGTGGCTGGTCACAGAGAAGCATCAAAGATTATACTAAGCATGAATGAATGCATGAATGAGGTCTTGCATTTTACTGATTCTAGCTTGCACCAAGACCTCAGGCAAATAGTGGAGCGAAGACTTTCTCTTTTTAAAAAAAAGTTATAAACTACTTCTTCCTGTGGGCAGACTGAGTTTCTTATTTCCAAGTTAGGGCAAAACAGCTTGCACCCCGGGCTGCAGGCTCTGGCATTGCACTCCCACTCCCACGCAGCTTCTCCCCACCAGGGTCACCAATCTGAGGCATCAGAAACTCCCGGAACACTGGTTCACAAGGGGGACGCAGTCCTCGCCCCACTGGGTTAGATTCCACAAAGAGCCAGTCCCAGGATGCTGCATTTTTAACAAGCCCAAATTATCCCAGACTTGCCTAGGGAGCCCCTTCAAGCTGGCTCCTACGTCCTATTGACAGAGGCCCCCCATCACCTTTCTGTGAGCACTGCCCCACCTTCTGGTATAAAAAGATGCTTCAGACCCATCCTTGATTCTCCATCCTCCAGCCAGGGAATTGGCTGTTTCTCCAGTGAGCCCCAGGTCTGTTTTAAAACATACCCAGGATTTATTTTCATCAGGCTGGCTAAGACACACAGGCATGGAAATGCCTGTCACAAAGGGGGAAGCTGACCCCCACAGATCCCTAGAAACAGGGACATGGATGCCCTGCAGCGCCCCACAGGGCAGCACCAGGGCTGATCAGGAGGCAGGGACGGGGGAACATGGACAAGAGCCTTCGTTACGATTTCACGGGGTGGAAGGGGTGAGGCAGGGCAGGCGCGCTGTGCAGATTTAAGCTGCATCAGATAACTTCAGCAGAGCCTGGAGCCTCGGGACTGGCCCCGCCTGCCTGGCACCTGGGCCTGGGGTGGTTAGGGAAGGGGGGCAGTGGCTCTGAGCATGAGAGTCCCACAAAGGAGAGAGTTGGGGGTATGAACTTTGAATTGACTGGTTTTCATAAGATACACTCATGGGCAAGTTGTTTGCTGTCTCTAAGAATTAGCTGTCTTGGGAGGGGCCATCTCTCCAGAGTCCACAAGGCCCCAAGATGTCCAAATATTGGTGGCCCTTAGAAGCCAAGAGCTGGGTACTCAGGGTGCTCACCTGGGGTGTCCCTGT